ACACTTATACTCATGTCTGTCTTCTGTACTACAAAATGCATTGCTGGAAGGTAGGAAATTGTGCCTTTATTGTATTTCCCAAGAGCATAACACAAATCTTCCATGAGGCAGACAGGAAATATATAGACTTGGAGTCTGCTGCTTTCTCCATTTTACAAAGACATTCTCATCCAATTAAAGAAAATCTTAGATAACTGTCTTTATCTCTTTGAAAGAGTGTATTGTGACATTAAACGTTGGAAAAAGGAACTGCTTTACATAAATCTAAAATTAGCATAAATGTGTAATATCTGAACTCATTCAGATATTTTTATTTTAGGTGTTCATTGATGTCCATAATTTCATTTGTGCCTACAATGAATTTACACACAGGATTCCAAAGTATATATTTCATTTCAGTAACCTTGCTTCTCAGAGAATGAAGCTAAAGTTTATGGAAATAACTGGCATAGTATTTTGTTGTCACAAAGATAAAGTCCATCTTGTGTGCTCTTTCTTCTCAGTTACGCAATACTTTTCAATTTCTTTTTCTAGTTGCACTTTGCTTTAGTCCAGCAACTCCCTGCTCTTCAGGCTTCTCAAAGAGCAGGTCCTGTTATGTCATGTAACTACAGCTTCCAAGGGACCTTGATGATTCTGCTCCTGTGGGCCTCTCTGTCATCTCTTATGATTGGCTCCCTACCCTGTGCCATACAATCCTCTGAATCAGACTCTCCAACAAACTATGCTAGAAGCTTTCCTTGAACTTTTAACAAATTCCCCTTTTGCCCCAAATGTCCTTTACTGTCATTTATTCCTAGGGTACTTAAATAATTCTTAAAAATTCAATTTAAACTCTTGCTTAGAAGCTTTGCCTACCTCCCACAGGCATAAGAAATCATAGCTTTCTCAATGCAGCCATTTGGTATCCTCAGCCCACTTCCAGTCTCAAATATAAACTGGTTGTGTTTTAATGTCTGCTTTGATCTGTGTCTTCTTTCTACTCCTATATAGTTTTTGAATCTAGGATTCATTGCTCTGTCTATCCTTAGAAGCAAGCATGCCATCTGGGATCCAGCAGGTGTTTAGCAAATATACATAGAGCCAATTCACTCATTTAATCTCCACAACTGTACATGTGAATAAATGATGACGCTGAGATTTCAAAAGTTTGTGTGGTCTCAGAAGTTGTATGGCCAGAGAAAGGCAGGTATTCACTCTCAGTGCTAGGACTCATTTGTCAAGGGATATCAAAAGAGTCATTGTGTTCAGACCATACTTCTAGGAGATAATTAAGTCCTTCTGGTTGCAACTCGTGTCTTCCTTGAGACCTTCCTACTTTCTATATGTATATGAATATCTTACCACTACATGACTTGTCTCAGCTTTGTCCCTTATCTTCCTTGTCTTTGGTTTGATGCAGGATTCTCTGATCTCTACTCAAAGACTTCTCTCTACTTTTCCTTTTTTTTTTTATCTTGTTTCCTTTTTGTGACAGAATCAAAACACTTGATTGATATTGTATTAACATTCCTAATCCTTTATGTAGGAAGTAGACAACAGCTTTAACATTCCTTCTTCCTTGACAGTTCAAGTACAGCGACTGTGTCTAGAGCAGCCATTGTCTCATGTAGCCCCTTAGACTTGACATTTAAGGTCCGAAGCCATTTTGAAGCACCAAGGAATATAATTACCCAGATAGTTAATGTTGTGTTAAGAATTCTTAACTTCTTTCACATATGCAGTTAAAAAACAGTCTATTTTATAAAAATTGACTTTAGAAGCGAATTCTGGGGGCTCTATTCATGTTATTTAAAAACGACTCTGCATTACTGAAAGATAATTTAGTCATTTCTCTAAGACTCATGTCTTCACTTACAATTGTTTGTAGGAAGGCTTTTGTGAACACCCATAGTCACTTTTCTCCACCATGTATAAAATTCATTTCTCTGTATGTTCTCTAAATTGTATTTTCCCAACTTCTCTGTCAATAATCTTCAACTTTTCTGTTTAAATCACTAAAAGCCATATAGTTATTTCAAAGCACGATACATGCTTAAAATACGTTTTAAAACCAACTCTCTTTTAGCAACAAACTGTCCTATGACATCATTTCCCCTCCCTCTCTTAGGATAATGGCTACTTCCTGCCTATTGGCTCTATTAGCCATCTTTTATACCACAGCTGTAACACTACACTTATTGTGTCATAGTGCCTGGTTCTGCCCATTTATTAAGACCAAACTCTTCAACATGATAATTGAGGATTTGAGTGGTGTGGCTTTTGTAATTGCATGTTTACTCTGCCCTGGATTTGCCCCTTTCCAGCTGCTTCCCCTCTCATCTCTCACCCACTTGCTTGGATGCTGCCTCCTCTGCTAAACCTTACTGAACAAATTAATCATTTCATCCTCCATGTTTTACAGCATCCCCTGTATTGTGACAGTGTTGGTGTGTACCCGTCTTTCTATTGTACTTCATTTCTATTCTTGAGTTCAGCATTATGAAGTAGGTTTTAGTCATCCATTTATTTTCCAAGTGTAGAGTGGGAATTAAATATGTATTTATTAAAGAAATAAATAGGCAAATAAAATAGCAGCTGTGTAGTTTTCATGAAAAATTCTGGAGTCACTCATTCTTTATTTTTTCTGAGATGTTTTGGTAAAGTTCTCAAGTCCATATCAAAATATATCAATATCTATCTATCTATCTATCTATCTATCTATCTATCTATCTATCATCTATCTTTAAAATAGTGGAAAACAAAATTATATTCATATCACTAACTATTGAAATGAAGACCCATGTAAAAATTGTAATACCTACATTACCTCTTTGGAATTTGTGGTTACTGTTAATATTGAATTCTTAAAAGATTTTAACACGCCCAACTTCCTTTATGTGTTACCTTTAAACAGTGTTAGATCATAGATCCTACCAGTCTTAATTGTGAAGTGAAATAAAAATGGAGTATTGAATATTCACTATGAGGATACTATACAGACACTGACACTCACAACACACACACATGCACACATATACCAGATTTAGAAATTAAAGGTCAGATCAATTTCTACCTCTTTAGAGAAAGTCTCCATAGATAATTTTATTATTGTATAACTTTGCTTAAAAATCACTCTGGAAACTTTAATCCATAAAACAGAATTATTTAATTCACTATAGCCAACTATTTTATTTCACATCTTATCTTATATTGCACAAATGTCTTCTTTTTATTTCAGTTTTTAGCATTCATAGCTCCAGATAAATGGTAGGAAATTAATGAATGCTAGGTAAGGCTGGCTGTGGATACTGTAGGGCTGTTGCTAGTGAGAATGATGTATGCTTTAGCTGGAGAGTTTCTTACTTTGTAGAGATGTAGGTGTCTATTTTTAAAAAATAAGTATCCTTTGTCCTGTGAGCTGTTTATACTTCTGTCAAATTGAGTTTGCTTCTGGCTAGAATTTTCTCTTTTTCTTTTTTTTCCATCATCTATATAATGTATTTTGTGTTCTGTGTTTTATATGTACTTCCCTACCAGAAACTCAGTTCCCAACCTTTTATTGCACACAAGTCTTTTCTTCCATTGTTTAATACCACTTTTGAGTATGGCAGAAGAACAATCATTTACCAATGACTTACTCATGCCGAAGTTAAATAATGGTAATTGAAATTATATTAAGTAGACAAGGATTAATTTTTCTTTCTCCCAAAAGTATGAAGCAATGTATCATATATAATTGATACTTCCTTTAACATTAACATTTCTTTGTTGAAATTGAGTTTAGATTTCACTTTTAAAATCTGTTTATTTTATGTCTCTCAAATCAAGGACTGTTCGTTAAATGTTCATGTTGATCATTATGCATGTGTTGTTGATAAGCAATTGTTGAATGTACATGTATATGCTTAGTTAACTTTCTTTCCTACAGCACGTTCCTTTGTTTCCATTTCTTTAAGTCCTGGGATTGGTGTACTCTCAGCTTCAAATTACAACTCAATCCAAAATAATACAGTGTTTATCTGATTTCTCAAAATGAACAGACTCTCGGACTGAGTTCAATATCAGGTAGAGCAATTTAAGCATTGCAGTCTTTAATCTCAGTAATGATACTACTCAGTCTTTAGCTATCTAGGGGGTTATTTAGGCTTGTTATCTTTTGCAACTTATTTTTCTGTCTCTTCCTCCATCCATGAAGCCAGGTGGCCAGAAGGCCTAATAGCTGGCGGCATTTTTGTCAACAGAATCCAAGCCATTTCTTTAAAGCAGGATTTCTGAAACCAAAAATGCACCTTTCTATACAGCTCATTTTTAATATAACAAGTCTGCTTTTATTAGAGAAATGTAGTGAATAGAGGGTTCACGATTCTAGTTGTTTTCAATACTTCAGAGTGATAGATTATTAAGGCTATGTGATGTTAGCATTATGGCCTTTAATATAAATTTGTATGTATATCTGCACACACCATGGTCTGAGGAAAGCGATGACTTCTGCTATGTTCATTATGGTTCTCCACCCCATCCCTTTTTGTTTAAAATGATTTGTGTGGTGGGATGTAGGAGCATGGAGAGAGACAGATTAACCTGTTCTAATGAGACTACGTCTAGTGGTTTGAAATGATAGGATTCTTGCATTGAGTCGGTCAGAAAATGTTATTAGAGACTGGAATTTCTGTTTACACCCTGCAAAAGACATGAACAAACTTTCATGTAATCCTTGCTCTTTGTGACCACTCTTCATTCTTGCTTTATGCACTGATAAAGCAGCCTGCTGTTCTTATTACTTAGGGCTTACAGTAGCCTATTGATTTTGTTTCATGTTATGCTTAAATCAACTGTCTTTATTTTATACTATCCTAAGGGGTTGTTTTATTGACTGAGTTTCCCTCAGATCTGAGCCTCACCACGTAAGACTGATGAGCACCCTCAGTTAAGTGACACACATGCTGTTCATGTTGTCTGATACATCTTGCCCTGACCATGAATCACCTATAATATTACCCAATCTACTGTATTTACAGGAAAAGCAGAGGTTTCTGACAGATGTTCTGCATGAGGTGATGCTGCTTGACGGGTTGGCCAGTTCCCATCCAGTATCACAGGAAGTGCTACGGGCAACAGATATTGACAAAGTGTTTGACTGGATCGCATACAAAAAGGTGGGAGAGCTAAGAACCACATGCTAACGAGATTTTTCACTGTTGGGAGAGATGATGTAGTTCATGCTGGAAGTCTTATATTTTTCTATCCTTTCAAGTGAATGAGAATGGGTTGTAAGGATGAAAGGAGTTATTAGGTTCATGTCATCTTATGAACAGACGTGCTTTATGAATGAGTGAAATAAAAATGAGTGTTTGCCAAATATTGCATGGATATATTAAAAGTATTAATGAATAAATATTTGGGAACTTCATTTGAAATTGCTGTACAAATGACTTTATGTCAATGTCAGTTTCTAGCATTAAGAACGTTGGCCTAACTTGTGACAAATTCTTTATGCCAGTGCTCCCTCAAATACTTGATTGACTTATGGAAAGGGGTCTCGGTAATTCCAGAACACCTACATCTTATAAATAAATTTTAACAAAGTCTTGGGGAACTAAGCATGTTTTTTTGGATGATATGGCAAAGTAAATACAAATTAAAAGGTTTTTGAATGAGTGTGATTTAACTGATTTTTTTTTTATTGCTACTAGGATTAGGAGTTATCCTTAAATCTCTATCCCATGTTTTAATTTTACATGAGGATGTATCTGTTAGCCTTGGTATTCACTAGTCACTTACTGGTAAAAATGAGGGTAAGACTCATGTTATTTTTAGTGTGAATTTAATTACATTTTGGAACTTTTATATAGATATTATTGATTCAGTAATGTCATAAGCATTAAAAATTACTAAAATTATTTTGTCTGTGAAATATATTCATTTGTGAGTATTAGAGATAAAAATAATTTACCAGAAGTCCTTGGTATACTGATTAAGCTAATGTAAAGACATCGTTTTGTGCTCAGTAATGATTCTCTAAATATTTACTAGTTAATGATGTAGGCAATAGTATATAAAGATGTTTTGTTAATTAAAAAATTCCATTGTATTTGATCAAGTGGAGTGTTTTGGATATTTTGAGGAATAATATCAAGTATAGGCTTATGATGTATTTATTATTATTATTGATTTTATATGAGATTGGTTTTTGCTAGGTTTAGTTTACTATATATTTAACTTATTTAATGGTAGTAATGTTTTAAATATAACCTAGGAAATATTTTATTAAGACATTCCAATGTGATAGTGATATATGTAGCTATTTTTTCTCACTCCTCATTCTAAAAGGCTATTTCTAAATACTAATTTTACTTTCACATGAATAAAACATGAAAATATTATTTTGATCAAATCTATTATCAGTGTAACTTTATATGGAACAGTTAATCTTTTTTCGATAGAGTTAGAATGTTTCAAGATGATTTAAGAGGGCTAAGAACAGGAACAGTAGTAAATATGAGTATAAGGAGACTTTCATGCTACATGCTACATTTTGGCAGAAAGGCATAGGAGTTTCCCATTATGAAACACCAGCCACCTCTGTTGTGGTCTCATGACTACCATGGAGAGAATTTCTGATGAACGTTTTTCTAGTTCTATAGCATTAAGTTTCAGACAACATTAAAAATGTAGCCTTTCCTCTGATATTTGAGGTACAATTTTACAATAAATTGAATGTGTTGAAAAAGGTACAGTTTGATGGCTGCTAACAAATATAGACCAGAGAATACCATGGCAAAAAATAAAGAATACATACATTACAATAAAAATCTTCTCAAGGCCATTCTAAGTCCCACCTTGTCCACACTGATAATCCTACAATGACTTAGTTTGCGTTTCTGTCAGTCTTATAGAAGCAGAATATATTGCTTAATTTTCCTTCTCTTCCTCATCATATTTATCTCAAGATAGATACATATTGACAATTTATAGGTAGGCAAACAATTTGTTGATTTACTTCACAAGAGAAATGAGCTGTTTCTGGGTTTGGTTCCTGGAAATATTACTGCCTCAGGCTCTGCACGACCTTGGGCATCTGCTAGCTGCAGAGTCCACATTCCCTATCTCCATTCTGCTATATAACACAGAGTTTTGTAGTGTCTTGTACCTTTCCCTGTTTCTAGACTTTGGTAAGTTGCATGAGTTTCCCTAGCTTTGTAAATTGTGTTAAATTTTCTTTACATTACCAGAGAGAACGTGAATTAAGAAGAAATACCTAGTCAACAAAGTCTGTTCTTTCTTCCTTGAGTTGCCATTGCAGTGCTGAGAAACAATGAATAATATACATGTGGTCTAATTTCTGGACTTATTCTGTTACACTTGCCTGTGTATCTATTTGGCTTTGGCATCCTGCAGTCTTTTTTTTTTTATTGGATGTTTTATTTACATTTCATATGTTGTCCCCTTACCCCATCCCCCACCCACCCAGGAACTCCCTATCCCCTCACCCCTCCTGCTTCTCTGCAGATGTACCCCTACTTACCCCCCCCACTCCCACCTCCCCACCCTCAAATTCCCACCCCCTGGGGCGTCCAGCCTTCATGAGGCCAAGGATCTCTTCTTCCACCTATGCCCAGCAGGGCCCTCCGCTCTTATGTATACAGCTGAAGCCATGGGTCCCTCCCTAAGTGCTCCCAGGTTGGTTGTATAGACCCTGGGACCTGTGGTTGGTTGGTATTGTTGCTATCCTCATGGGGCCACAAACCCTTTCAGTACCAATGGTATTCACTCTAACTCCTCCATTGGGAACCCCATGATCAGTTCAATGTCTAGTTGTGAGCATCTGCTTCTGAATATGTCAGACTCTTGCAGACCTCTGAGGAGACATCTATATCAGGCTCTTATCAGCATGCACTTCCTGACTTCCACATCAGCATCTACCTTTGGTGACTGGACATGGGATGAATACTCAGGTGGCATCCTGCAGTCTTAACTGCTGTTGTCTCATGATTAAACCGTGAAGCAAGACCATGTTAGTTCTTTAGTTGGCTTTCTTTCAAAGTTCTTCATTCATCCATGACCTTTTGGATTTGCACAGAAACGGGTCTGTTAGTTCCTACAATTCTTACACTGGGATTGTTAGGATTGTATTGATAGACCACTTGAGGAAACTGACATCTTAACTGTACTGCTGTAAGAGAGGGAGTGTTCTTCTATTCAGTTCTGTCAGGTCCTCATCCTGCCCACTCAGCTGTGTAGTTGATAGCAATCTTTCAAACCATTTTGCATGTTGATCCTGACTATTTCACATTGTGAGCTATCAGGCATGGTATTTTAAATTTTTTTGTTCCTGAGTTTTTGTTGTCTCTATAGAATGAACTTTGTGGAGCTGAAGAGATAGCTCAGAGGTTAAGGATACTGATTACTCTCAGAGGGATCAGGTTTGGATTCCTAGCACTCACATGCTGGCTCACAACTATCTGTAACTCTATTTCCAGGCTATCCAACATTCTATTTTGGTCATTGAAGGCACTGGATGCGTGTGTTACATGGATATACATGCATGAAAACACACACAGACACATGCACACATACATCTTTTAAAGTTAGATTTGTATTGGTTTTTTAGACTTCAACATTAAAGTAGCTGTAACTTTTTTTTTTTTACTATGAATGCTCTATTGGATAATGAAAAAATCTGCCTGTTCTAGCCTTTCTATAATCATTTTTATTTGTTTTTGAAATTTTCATATATGAATACAATGTATCCTGATCATTTCTATCCATCACCTGCCCTGCCCAGTTACTATAAAGAACTCCGGATGCTATCTTCCTTTTTAAATCATGCCTCCTATTTGTATATTTATTTATGTGTAAAATTTTAAATTTATCTGTACTAAGGGATAGCATCATCCACTGCACCATGAAAAACCTAGCAGCAACTACAGTCATAAAGAAAAGGAACTTTCTCTTCACTGTTGGCCATCAGTTGTCAAGACCTCCTCAGCCAGAAGGAAAGTCTTGGTAGTCCTATTGCAGTACATGTTGGGAGTCTGTATTGGCTTGATTTTGTGCAGATCTTGTGCAGTCATGTACAGTTGGCTCTGAGTTCATCTGTGTGACAGCATGTGATGTCTAAAGGACAAAATTTCACATCTCTCGTTGTCATCTTCTGGCTCCTATATTCTTTCTCTCCCTCTTTCACAGCATTCCCCAAACCAGAGGATGACGGTAAAGAAGTAAACATAGCTGTCGCATCCATGGCTGAACAGGAGCTGTAGCTTATTTTCAGCAGGCCTCCATCATTAATAACTTATAGGAAGATCACTTGTGCCTGTCACTGGGCATTTCTAAAGTTTTATAGGTTATTGTATTGTATTCCTTTATTGTGTTGTGTTGTCTTCCTAAAGTACTCAGTTTTAATCAGAATGGGATGAAGATTCAATCAAACTCTTTTCATATATCATGATAGCTCTCTATTTTCTTTATGCATAGTCTATTTATGTCTCAGGTTTAATTGATTGACTTTCAATTTTTCAGCCTTCAATGAATGGCTGACAAAGAGTACTCAGCCATTATTTTTCTTGTAACCTACTGTTCAAAAACTTTCGAAACCCAAATCTAGATATTCTGTACCAGTGTTCAATGGGTATATTGGTGTTCTTTGCCCTTGGTGATCTCAGTTGGTAATTATCTCTCTTGTTGCTGCCTTTTTTTTTTTATAATGTTTATGAGCACATCTTGAAATGGGAAATGGTAGCTTATTCTCTGTTTTTGATTTTCTAACAATTTGTGCATTTCCAAAACTTTTAAAATGTTTAATAGTTTCCCTGGATAGCAACATAGACTTTGAATTTGCTTCATGACAATCATGAAAATTGAGAACTTACTTTCCTTTTTAAAGTATGTATGCTCTAAGTTTTTAATTTAAGCTTGAGTGGGATTTGATACACTGTTTCTGTTTCAAGGATTGGTTCTATATTATCAAAGATGTTTAACTTATTGACACAGATTCTACTTAGCCATTTCTTACTTATTTAATTGCTACAGGATCTCAAACAATGTAGCCCATTCCAGAAGTTTTTCAATTGTGTTATTCCTTTTTGCCTAGTTGTGTAACTAAAAAATTATAAGCATTTTTATTTTCTGAAAGAACGTGTTGATAACTATTAAC